ATAGAGTCCCAAGAGAAATTCTTTGAAGGATTCTAGAGAAGAAATGAGTGCAAGTAGCATATATCCAAGCCATAAAGGATATGTATGATGGAGCAAGGATTGCAGTAAGAACTCATGAAGGACAAACTGAAAGCTTTCCCATATCCATAGGGTTACACTAAGGCTCAACTTTAAGTGCTTACCATTTTGCATTGGTAATGGATGAGCTCACGAGACATATTCAAGATGGTATCCCTTGATGTATGCTTTAAACAAATGATTTAGTGTTATAGATGAAATGCATGAGAGAGTAAATGCTAAGCTTAACCATTGGCGGAAAGTGTAAGAATCTAAAGGTCTTCGACAAATTATATGGTGTGCAATTGTAGTGGGAAAAGGGGTCCAAATGGGATACGAGTAAGGATTGGAGATCAGGAAATCCCAAAGAGTGAACGCCTTCATTATCTTAGATCTATCTTGCAAAAGAACAGAGAATTGGATGGAGATCTCAACCATAGATCACAAGTTGAGTGGATGAAGGGGAAGAGTGCATCAAGTGTGTTGTGCGACCGTTATATGCCACTAAAGCTCAAAGGAAAATGTTAAAAGGATGGCAATAAGGCCAACAATGCTTTATGGCACGGAATGCTAGGTGCTCAAGCATCAACATGTGCAAAAATGAGGGTAGCGGAGATGAAAATGCTTCGCTGGATGAGTGGGCACACAAGCAAGGACAGGATTAAGTAAAATAGGAGTGGCTACAATTGAAGATAAGACCAAGAGAAATCGGTTAAGGTGGTTTGGACATGTCAACCGAAGACCTACAGATGCTCTGGTTAAAAAAATGTGATTACGAGACAGAGACTCAGAGCAAAAGGAGTAGAGATGAAGACTTAGGAAGACTTGGAAAGAGACTTTAAGAAAAGACATGGAGTACTTGGAGCTCACGGAAGACTTGGCACCAACCCAAGCACAATGACGTTCTAGGATTCATACAGCCACAACCTCACTTAGTGGAATAAGGCTTTGTTGTTGTTGTTGTTGTTGTAATTTGATATATACACAGACTAGATAGTGTTAATCATAATAAATAGAAACTTCACAGTCTCACTTCATACTCAAACTTCATGAACATGATTACCAGCACAATTAATCTCTTTTGAGGCAGTCTTAACTCTATAGAGAATTCAGAAGCACGGCACTCGAAAATACTTAAAAGATTAATGAAGGGGCCTTTTCAAGGCTCGAGCTATTATATACCATGCAACCTGGGATTTCACAATTGTCATGGTAAAAGCTATGCAAAATTAAATTTTTCTTCCTTTCCTATTTTTTCTTCCCCTTTTAGGGTAGAAGATCTATAAAAGAGGAGAAATAAAAGAAAGATATAAAGTATAACAGAAACGGGACGCTACAAATGTAGGAGCTCCTGTTAGATCTTTAGAATTTTTAACCTGGTGATTATAGCTTAATGCATCTTTGCATTAGAGTTCCAAATTCCGATCACCAAGCTAACTAGTCTCCCTTCTTGTGAATCTTGAAATCAGGGATCATACTATAAATTATATGCATCCGGCATAAGGAATATTTGCCTTCAAGGTTCCAGTTACATGTTTTCCTATATTTTGTTGACGTTTTGCATATTGTTCTATCACTTGTTTAATTGTGTTCCTTCTTCAAAATTGTTAAAACTCAAGCTATAGCCTATATGCCTTGACGTTAATATTGAGAGATCATGGTCAACCTAAGTAATATTTTGGGTTCAACCGAAATCCTATCGTGGACTTTTAAGGAAGAAAGTCACTCCAACGGAACAATTAAAAACAGTAGATTAGCATATCGAATAAAAAAGAAAGACAAAGGATGGGGGTTCATACAGGAAACGTAGTTTTCCAAGGTTGCCAAGCGTCTCTGGAATGGTACCATGTAAATTGTTCAAGTAAAGATCCAAGCTCACCAAGTTTGACAAACCCCCAAGCTCTGGGGGAATGGTTCCAGTTATGTTATTACTGTAAAGTTCCCTGTCAAGAAAGAGTGTTTCGATATGTCAAATGAAGTAGGTGAATTCATTCAGCAGTGTATCGATACCAATTTCAATTCGAATGCATACTGATGGAACAGTGATGGAACAGTTGGATAAGACACGAAAAAAAAGCAGAGCGAAAAACACACTTACAAGTACTGCAACTTGGAAAGCACACCAAGCTGTGCCACCAGTTGACCAGAGAGATTGGCATTGCCCAGATCACTGGGCGGAGCAAAAATGTTAGAAATTTCGTGTAACGCAATTTTCGCTATTACAAGTGAACTGAACAGAATTGAATTGAACGGAATTGAATCGAAAAGGAGGTGTTCGCTGGGTTTGCTTACACTCGAGTAACGCTATTTTCGCTATTACAAGTGACGTGAAACCAGGTACAGGGATTGACGAGAGTCGGATCCCAACTCTGCAGAACATTGTTTGGATCAGCTAGATTGCTCTTCAAAGCATTCAATGCGTCACCTGTCAAATCCAACCAGGCATTCAATCATTCATTCATTAGTTCGTTCCAATTCCCGCAACCAAACACGCCCAAATTCACAGACACTGACGTACCTTCGACGTTGGCAGCAAGCTTCTGGAGGTGAAAGAAGCCAAACAGCAGAATCAGCCAAAAAGCAGAAGCAGAGGCGGAGGACGTCATCAGTGTTGGGTCCATTGGAGCTGAGCTCAGCTCATACACGAATCCCTAATTCCAATTCTAACAATTGGGGAAGCAGCTGGCGTTGACCGATCAAAATCTGGAGCATCTCTGCGTTGACCGGATTCCAGAAAATTCGGTGGCCTTTGCTTTTGCTTTTGCTTTGGCTGTTGATTAACTTGCAGATTGCGTTTGGCAAAGCATGCTTCTCACTTCTTACAGAGAGAGCTTAGAGAGAGAGAGAGAGAGAGTGAAATCTCAGAGCCTCAGTAGTTTTGGAGAAGAAGGAAAGAAAAGTAAAAGGTTTGGGGGGAGAGTGGAGGCGCTGCGGGTGGAGGGCTCTCAGTCAAAGTCGCAGCCCACCACGTTGGAATTTCCTTTCTTCTTTACTTTGTATTTATTTTTTCTTCAAATTTCTAGTCCATGAAAACTAGCAATATTCTACACTATGGGAAAGTGATAGGTTTAAATTTGAGATACAATTGAAGGTGAGAGGTATTAGATTTAAATCTCGTAGATGTCAATTTGATGACAAATTAGATTGCTCATGTGGTTTAACCGAACTTTCCATATTCTTAGTGTAAAAATATCTATGTATTAAAAAATATTCGAGATACGATGAGTTAAAATAGAAAGACACTAATTATTAAGATGAAAGGTTATTCCGTGTCGAGAACAAGTTTAATATTATGTGTTATAATATAAGAGATTGAATATTTAAAAAAAAAATTAACTACTCATAATATAACATTTAATATACTGAACCGTGTTTTCGATGCATTGAAAATTTCCTCTGCTGTAACAATTCACGCATTCGAAATTTCCTTTCTTCTTTTGTTTATATTTATTTTTTCTTCATTTCCAATTACTATATTATTATTTTTTGGGTGAAAATTGTTCTTCAACCACGATTTGTCCCCCGGCCCCACCATATGCCCTTCTTGACTTGATGACATTCGACTGCACGTACAACATTATTCTTTTTTTTTTTTTGAACGCCAGCACAACATTATTCTTCACCTTGAGTAAACACGACTAGGGAGTACAAGAATGGTTGGGAAATTGGAATATATATTATAAATATGAGTAATGTTAGTAAAATTAATTTATAGATAAATTTTTGTAAATAAAATTACATGAAAATTGATGGTTAAATTATTACTTAAGCGTTGATAAGCGTGTTCAATTTTTATTGATGACACATCATTTGGTTTACAAATTTTGTCTCCCTAGTATTACTCTATAAATATATGTTGCTTAAGTAGAAAGATCGACACGAGAATTATAGATAGGATAGTGTTATTCACTCACTCATTTTGACATTTCACACATCCTTGTTTATTTTTTGTCATTCATCTTTTTTAATTTCTTCGATCTAATGGCCAAAAATTGAGGCAGATATGTGAAAAGTAAAAGTGGATGTGTGAATAACAGTACATTTATAGATATTATATTGTGATAGAATAGAAATTGTTCATACGATGTTTATCTAGAGGTGCAACTTGAGTTCGGTCAACTCGAATCAGCCCATGCCCAACTCAATTTCAAACCCAATCAAGCAAGTTAATATGAAGTAAAAACTCGCTCAAACTCTACTCCACTCAACCCATTCATTTATTAGGTTAGGTTTGGGTTGAGTTCTTGCCTTCCCATGTCAACCCAAACCCAATCCGATTTCCAACCCGAATTTTCTCATGACATATCACACATCCCGATTGGTAATATATAAGCAAGGTACACATTTAGGGATGACAATAATTGAAGTTTGTTGTTGGTTTTCATTTGAACAATGAATCATAATGTTCATTTACGTTTCTTTTGATTGAAATTTTGGTATTCTCTTGTTATTTTATTTCAATTTCACATTGTTGAAACATTAGAAATGGTCTCCACACCATTTGGTTTAATTTTTTATGTGAATGATGTATAAAATTAAATTTCAACTGACAAAAAAACCCAACTCAATGGGTTTGATTTTTCTTCCAAAAATAAACCGAACCGGCCGGAAAAAACAATTACCAGTGCATGAACCGTACTCAGTTGTTTGAGTCTGGGTTTGGTTTCTCTAAATAGTATGCGCGCGGGTTCGGTGTTTAATGGGTCTCTTCTTGTATTTCTAAAATCAATTAAAGCGTTTTACTATAATAACGAATTCGATATCAATTTATCTTCTAACTAAATAAATATCGTTGTATTTAAGAAAGAAACTAATTTTAGTTTTAAAAATGACTGTTAATATTTAACCGTAACCACTAGCATTTGAAGTAGTTAAGTTTAGGAACAGTTTAGGCACGACGTCGAGTAAATGCCTAATTTAGAACATGTAAGGTCGCATCAGAATAACAAGAAACCTCAAGCTCATTGAAATTTAGCAAAGAAATTTATATGTTTTGAATTCTCAGCACAACGGAACAAGAACGAGATCGTGTCGACAACCCAGCCGCCTCTTCGGAGATGGCAACTCAAAATAGCACCAGAACAACAATCTTCCTATCTAAACTAGACAATAATCTTCCCATCTAAACTAGACATACAGAATGCAGCCTTGATCACACACGTTTGCCAACTAAAAAACGTCGTATGCACAAAATAGCTCATACCCGACATGACAGCTTCACCGTTTTCCAGCGTTGATTCTTGGCTTGCCTTTAACCTCGGCTTCCTGCAGCCACAAAAAGGGTAACAATGCAGTTTGAGTATTTCCAGGCCTTCATCAACAAAATTACTGGAAACGTACCGTCAGAAACATACCTGGGGCACGTGGAGGTAAATGTAGTTCTTTGCGGTAGCAGGATTATGATTTTCAGCGCCCTTGCTCCAATCATAGCAAACCTAGAAACATACGTCGGAAAGGATCTTCAGTAAAATATTTAAAAATTATGAGAGTAAAATATAAGGAATTTGCTCAACCAGTTTTCAAGTCGAATTGGCTCTCAAAGATTAGAACCATAAACCAGCAGTCACTTGAATACAGAAAGACACAACTACAACGGCACAAGACCACAAATAACGATGGCAAGCCATGCAGTATAATCTCGACAGAAACAATAGTGAAAGACAAGCAAGTCTACAGAGCGAAAGGTTCATTGGAGGTATAATCAAAATTGCATGAAGGTTGTCATCATTGCAAGAAGTACAATAAAAATGCATACGCAAAGGTATTGCCTGAAGTTGCAGTGGATACAACCTACTTCTACCACTTTATACCAGTTGAAGAACACAACTTCTATGGATGTATACAACTTCCAGACTCCATTCATTTCCAACCCAGATTTAAAAGAGGAAAACCACAAAAGTATGGATGGTATTTTCCTTTTTCTAAACAAGTTGTACACCATGAGTCAGTCCCATGAAAGTTTGAACGACAAACCTCAGACACAGAACCCTCGTATTAGTTGCAAAATCACAAAGAAAGAGACTTACTGCGTATGCAAATATGGAACCATCATTGTTGAAAGCACTGCAAGGTATAGGTTGACTGCACCTCGCCATTGCCTGAAAAAATCAGAAAACCCTCTATTAGACACTTGTACGCATACAAAACAAATTATCAGTAACCAAATATATCACCAGATAAGCGGTAACTTGAACTGATCAGAACCCAACAGTCAAGATGCTCATCGTTTAAGCATAATACAAAAACAAAAACAGTAGAAAATAGATGTGGAAGAAACCTTTAGTCTCTGTTTGCTATCCTTATCCCAAAAATTGAAAGAACCGTCAGAACCAGCGGTAGCAAATGTGTGATGGACCTGATCGAGGAACACAAAATAAGCTCTAATGTTTGACAAATAATAGAAAACCAAAAATGAAGCCTCAGAATTTATCCAACATCTCACTCAACAACCTAACAATAACCATAATGAACAGACTCTGAACATTGTATAAACTGGTTGGATGGAAACTGTCAAATAATTAGGCATTCCAAATATTGATTCTGAAGTAAACTCATTCCTAAAAGAAGACAAATTCGAACATGAAGTAAGATTTAACTTGACCAAAGCCACTATTCAGACAAAATAATCCAGTAAACATAGCAATGTAACTTTACAGATTCTCATACACTAGGACAATCCAACAACCAATTTAATCCAGTACATGATATAAAAGATAACTTCAAAACAAAAGAAAAATAGTAATTCAAGGTTTATTTAGAAACATTTTTGCTTTTTATCTTTCAGAATTGAAGAGAGTGAAAAGAAACAGGAAAAAGGAAAGAGCAAGATGAGACATTACAGAGGTGAAGAAGAATGCATGTAGCGAAAACCACAAACATTTCACTTCGAAGTGTTTTGACTTTTGAGTTTCAAACTCTAATGTATTTCTCTCTCCTTCACCCCATCATCTCTCCTCTTAATGTCCTTTCCTTTTTCTTATCTATCTTAAATTTTAAAACAAGAATATAAACAACCTAAAATAAATACGTTGGACCCTCAATACACTGTCCAAACATAATTACAAACAAAGGAAAAAGATAAAGGAATCTTACTGGATGGAAGTTCAGAGAGTTGACCGAGTATATCTCATTGCCCTCTCTATGGCACTTGAAGGTAAAGTTTTTACTTTGTAGTCCATCATCCAGATGATGTACACCAACCCTCCCTTCAATAGAACCAACCTGGTCAGAGAATAATGTCAGAATCATAATTAATATAATTCAACAATTATTCAGACAAGATAAATAGGTTATGAATCAAAAGAATAGAAAGAGAGTATGACTGATCCTATGTCATGTTCAATAATCAAGATAGTTAAAACAGAAAGTACAATGGCAAACGGTAGAACTGATGGCAAAATGATATATCAGTTATGGTATATCAACATCAAATTTTCAAAAAGGCTATAATACATTTGAGCAAATAAATTACACAATCTCCCCTGTGCTTTAGTGGAAGCACGAAAACACCCATCTCATAGTGAAAAATTATAGCACTATAATCAAAGTCAAAATTTTTTAAATTAACTTGTCAGCGCTCATATTTTTCATGGTTTCCGCCTCCCCTAGATAACTAAGAGAACAACTATACTTTCAGACAGAAACTAAACAGAAAACTACAAGGACAAAAAAATAAGTAAATAACAACTTTGAAGGGAAGATCAAATACTTACCAAGAATCCTTGCTGATCAGGAAATGCAGCAACACACCTTGTTTGATACTTTAGGGGTGAAACAATTCGCTTGAATTCTGTCTGTTGGTAATTGGAAATAATTGAAATCAGAAGCAAAAAATAGCATGTCAATGAAGGTCACGCAGTCAAATATTAGAGTCTTTTAGATAACAAATCGCAAATCCATTGACTGGACTTGAAAACTTAAAAAAGAACAACAAGCTTATCCTCAGGGTACTGCAAAAAATAATTAAAAGCCTAGACAAATGTTAATTTTGGAAACTAGAAGTCTTGCTGAAGAACTAAGCAGCTTTAATTTGTCAATGTATTCTTGCTGCATCAAATTGATAAAAGAAATGCTATCTGATAACTCTTACATATAAAATGATACCTGTGGGTTTTGCAAGTTAAAAACGATCAGATTTCTGTCTGCAGTGCCAACAACCATTAGAGGGTATCTCACTGATAGAGTGTAGCAGCGCTCAGGTAGAGGTTGGGTATGGATTGGAGTTTGCTGCCTCAGATCCCAATACCTGAATATGGGTAGCAAAGGTCATACATTAAAAGAAGAAGAAAAAAACTTCTTTAAGAAATTAATTTTAACAAGAACCCCATAAAATTTCTGGTGTACAAATTCAGATAGCTCAAACTAGATAAAAAACAACAGGTATGTTTAAATTACTTCAAAGTCTTGTCCCAGCTTCCTGTGACTAAGTAGTTCATCTCCGGGATCCATGCAATCTCTTTTATGGGTGCTTCATGCATGGCAACGGTCACTGGTTGGTTACCAGCCAAAGGCCACATCTTAACTTGCTTGTCACACCCTCCGGAGAACACTGTCGATCCATCATCCTTCCAGGTTGAGCACAAAACCTATATAGATAGACATACATCACTCCACATTATATCACAAAATTTCCTTAGTTGACATACATTGATCTAATGTGGTCTCAAATTAAATGCACATGCTTGTGCATGCACAAACATATGTATTTATCAATAAATCTTTGAAATAGTGGTGATCCTTACTCTAAGGACTTTATCTTTTTAAATCAGATCGTATAATAACAGTACAAAAATTACTTCCTTAAAATCAACAACATAAAACAATTGTAAAGCAATTGACCTTGACATCTTCATTGCAGAGACATGTCTCAGACGTCCCATAATTACAATTCCATAATTTGACCTTCTACACAGAGATTGCACTGTTTTTTACCCAAACAAAATTTTGAGTCCCATTGTAACCTTAAAAAAAATTTGCAACCAATGTATATCTCCCTGTTTTTTTATATTTAGTATCACATAAAACTACTCTTATCTCAATTCCTGAGTAATCCATCTGGAAACAAACAGCAAAACTTTTGTTTGTTTTGTATTCAACCAGAATTACCCTAAGTCACTATGAAGAGCAGAAGTTAAGGATCATATCAGAGGGCCATGGCCAGATGTAAACTCCCCTAACTCTGCCAGTGGAGCAGACAAAAGTTCCAAGTTTGAATTCCACAAGTAAAGGCAGGCCATCTAGCATTTATAACCTCAGGTATTTCTAATTCATACCCTAGTTATAATTAAAAACTATAGTTGACACATTGTTGTGTACGTATCCACAATTCCACAAGATGTTGGAATTCAAACTCGCGAAACAAAATAAGTTGACTACCGAACTAGTTTCATGTAATATGGAGAGAAAGAGAGAGACGATACCGGTTGGTCATGCGATATGGATGCCTTGGGCACACTAGCAAGATTTTGTCCACTCTGGTGTATCTCCCAGCATCGCACCTAAACACGGGCATACCACCAGTCATTACTTAATAGTTAATCCTACCAATAAACTGTTCGTTTGGTTGCAAAGATAAGAAAAGAAATTGTAAAATTCAATCCAATGCCCAACGGTGTATTTACATAAGCAATAAGCATAGTGTAGTCTGATGACAGAAATCCAATCAAATCCTATAGAAAAAAAACTTTCTCAGCAACCAAACAGAATGTAAGGCCACATACACACATACCTGGTTATCCCAGGAGGTGGCGACCAGAATGTTACTCTTGGGACTGAAGCTTAGGCTCGATATCGAGTCGTTCGGTGGAGGGGTGACCTAAAATATTACAAATTAAAAGAAAAAGGAAACTAAATTAACGAAGAAAATCCAAAAAAATCAAAACAAAAAGCAAAATCGAAGAACAACTGCAGAATAACTGCAAGTGAATCGAATTCACCTCAAAGGACTTGTTCGGATTCGTATTCTGATTCGAAGCAGCCATGAAATTCGACATTGAACTCGCACTCAGAGCTGTAAAGTGAAAATCGCTTATCCAAATCTCAAAATTAAAAAAAAAAAAAATATTATTGTAAATAAAGAAATTAGCGAGCATTCATCAGAGAAGTACAACTGTAAAACCCTAACCCTAGAGAGAGAGATACCGTTAGCTGAAGGAGGAGAGAGGAGAGGAAACTGAGCGGAATATGTGAGAAGAAGACTGAGCCTTGAAACTTTGGTCCAAGAGGAAAGAGGAGATGAGTACTTATATATAAAGACGGTCGTGGATTTTACGCACGGAGCTCTTCCACAAAGATTACCGACTTAAGTATCCGACCATTTAAAATTTTATTCAATAGCTAAAAATTATTATAGTTTTTAAGAGGTCAAAACAGATCGGCCGTTGGATGAAATTTCAAAGGTTTCATCACTTGATCCGGAAAGGATCTCTTCTTCGCACGGCATAGGTCTTAAGCATTCTCAGATGTTATGGCGGTTGTATTTTCTTTTAATACTCATAAGGGGCGTTTGTTGCACTAGACTATCTCGGACTGGATTAGCTTCAAGGACTAAGCTGGACTGGCTTAGACTAGACTAAACTGGATTAACTTAGTGAAGCGTTTGGTGCAGTATTGGACTAAGAAGCTGGATAATAACAAATTATAATATTATATTATTTAATATATAAATTATTAATATTTTATTATGATCTTATCTTTTTCTTCATTTTTTCCTACCATTTCCTCGTTAAATTGGATGAAGTTAGCACCGCCAAAAAATTCATCACCATCCCTGGACCGAGATCTTAGCTTTGAATGCTCGAAGCTGTCATGGATTTGAAGAAGCCCAAACAGGCCGAGACTTCCAGGCCATTTTCCAGCCACATTCGACCACATTTTGGCCTCGATTAAGGTAAAATCGTAATCTTGTCACTCCCAGCTTCAATTTGGTATATTTTGTATGAAAGTTGGTTGTGAAATGAATCTGAAAGAGAGTCGGAAAGTTAATGATTGATCTAGGTGACCGGAGATGAAGAGGAGTCTGTCGAGAGTGGTCGTTGAGCATGACGAGGACAAGAAAGAGAGGATAGTCTTAGCTAGTTCCATGGTTATTGGGGGGTCTCGCTAAGACCTCTTAGTGAAGAGTTTTGTCCATGCTAGTCCCCTTTAGTCTCATTAATGTTAGTCCCAGCATGGAACAAACATAGTATTGGACTAATAGCTAGTCCAGTCCAGTCCAGTCCAACTTAGTGAGGGCAAACAAACGCCCAGTGTATACGTATTTGTACGTAACACCCTTGTTTTTTTTGACAAAAATGATATTTTTTTTAATTTCGCAAAATATTTTTTTAATACACGCGTGACTTTCTCATCTCACTTTGCATGTCAAAAGTCCGTCTCATTTTCTATAAGTTGAACCTGCCTTATTTTGCGTGACATGGTTCACCTCGTTTTGCGTGACCTGAGTCCGCCTCGTTTTGCAAGCGTCGAGCCTACCTAACCCTTATGTTTTTTTGACAAAAAATGCAATTTTTTTTATTTTTGCAAAATATTTTTCTTGAGCGTTAAAGTTAAAACTTTTTAAGGAATTTGGAAGCAATTTTATGATTTATTGAGCAAGAAATGTATATTTAGTAGAATATTTAGCTGAAAACTACAAAAATAAGTGAAAAATATAGTAGTGAGGCCTAGAACATTGTCAAATGGGGTTCTTTGCACTCAAGAATCTCAACGGAAAGTCTCACCTTAATTTTCAAAACTTCACAGTGAGGCAAATGTGAAAATAAAAAAGATTGAATGGTGATTTACAATGCGAATTTGCAAAACCGATTGAAAACTATGAGTGTTAATCCACATTTTTTTGTAAAAAATGCAAAATTTTATTTTCTCGAAATATTTTCTATACCACTAGGGAAATCTTTATAATGTATTTGGAAGCGGATTTACGATTTATTGAGCAACAAGTATATATTTAGTACAATATTTAAGCCTAAAAGGAATAAAATAAGTGAAAAATATAGAGATGTTAGAATGTAAAGTTAGTGTATATTTATTAACTTTTTTTTTTTAAACTAGAGATATTAAAATCACCTATAGGTGCGGCTTAAACAAAAAAATAACAAAATTTTGTTTTATTAAATAGTCTTTCATCACTTTTGGTTGACAAAGAGTGTTCTATTAATATGTAGTTCAGATTTAGATAAAAGAAAAATTAGCAAAAAGAAAAAAAATTCAAATATATTTAAATTTAGGTTTTAAATCATTGATTACAAGTGTTTAAATAAGAATTATAATAGATTTTGCACGGAAAAATATATTTTGAAGAACATGAATACAATAGTTTGTCGTAGTGGTAAGAGAAAGAAAAGAAAAATTAACAAAAATTTAAGGCATTTTTGTAAATTTTTCTTTTATTTCTCTTACTACTACGACAAACTATCGTATTCATGTTCTTCAAAATATATTTTCTCGTGCGTGGAGCCCGACTCGTTTTTTGACCACCCGAGAGTTCGCCTCGTTCTACGTGCGTGGAGCCTGTCTCGTCTTATGTGACTGGGTTCGCCTTGTTCTACTTGTGAGGTGTCCGCAACGTTTTGCCTGCCAGAAGCCCGCAACCTTTTGGCGTGAATGAAGCAAGCATCATTTTCCATGTGCACATCAATTTGTGCGTCGTATCTAGCCTCGTTTTTCGTACCCAAAGCTCACCTTGTTTTGTGTGCCAGAAGCCCGCTCTGTTTTCTATGAGCCGAGCCTGCCTTGTTTTGCGCACCATGGTTTACCTCGTTCTACGTGACTTGAGTCTGTCTCGTTTTGTGTGCATTAAACCTGCCTAATACCCACTTTTTTTGACAAAATTGCAAATTTTTTATTTTTGCAAAATATTTTTCATGAACGTTAAGCTAAACTTTTGAAGGAATTTGGAAGTTGTTTTACGGTTTATTGAGCAACAAATGTATATTTAGTAGAATATTTAAGCCAAAAACTAAAAAAAATAAGTGAAAATATAGTGAGGCCCATAACATTGTGAAATGGGGTTCTTTGCGCTCAAGAATCTCAGCTGAAAGTCTTACCTTAATTTTCAAAACTTCACAGTGAGGCGAAAGTGAAAAAAAAAAGGAGATTGAACGGTGAATATTTAAGCCCAAAAGTAACGAAATAAGTGAAAAATATAATGATGTTAAAATGTATATTCAGTGAATATTTTTTATTTATTTTTAATTAGAGATGTTAAAATCACTTGTAGGTGAGGCTTAAACATAAAATAGCAAAACTTTGTTTTGTTAAACAATCTTTCACCTCTTTTGGCTAACAAAGAGAGTTATATTAATATGTAGTTCAGATTTAGATAAAAGGAAAATTAGCAAAAAGAAAAAAAAAAAAAGGTTCAAATATTTATAACTTTAGATTTTAAATCTTTGATTACAAGTGTTTAAATATGAATTAAAATAAATTTTGTACGGAAAAATATATTTGAAGAACATGAAGACGAAAGTTTGTTGTTGTGATAAAAGGAATAAAAGGATGATTCAAATTATTGGGTGCCAGAAAGTCAAGTTTGACGTTTTGGCACCCTAAGAATTTGAATCATTTTTGTTAATTTTTCTTTTATTTCTCTTACCACTATAACAAACTATCGTATTTATGTTCTTCAAAATATATTTTTTCGTGCGTGGAGCCTGACTCGTTTTCTGACCACCCAAGAGTTCGCCTTGTTCTGCATGTGAGATGTCCGCAATGTTTTGCCTGCCAGAAGCTCGCCCTTTTTTATGTCCACAGAGCCTGCATCATTTTGGCATGCACAGAACAAGCCTTGTTTTCCGTGCGCACCTCTATTTTTTAGTCGTATTCCGCCTCGTTTTCTTTGTGCGGACTCTGTTTTCTGTGAGCTGAGCCCACCTTGTTTTGCGCACCATGGTGTACCTCATTCTGCGTAACCTTACTCCGCTTCATTTTGCGCACGTTGAGCCTGCCTAACACCTATGTTTTTTTTACAAAAATGCAAATTAGTTATTTTCGAAAAATATTTTTCATGAGCATTAAGTTAAACTTTTTAAGTAATTTGGAAGATCTGTTATGGTTTATTGAGCAACAAATGTATATTTAGTAGAATACTTAAGCCTAAAACTAAAATATAAGTGAAAATTATAGTAGTGAGGCCTAGAAGCGTGACTTTCTGGCACTTTCAAGAAATTGAAACATTTTTTTTTTCAAACGTTTTTGTTCATTTTTCTTTTATTCCTCTTACCAATACAGAAAATCACGCGCGACATTTTACCAACCAGAATGGCTTCACACATCCAACAAATTTTGTCTGACTTCGGGCATAGTTCACAATTTATCTTCACCTGTCACAAATTGTCTCAGCCACTTCGAGCTCTCATTTGTTCCGTCTTGATCTTTCGAGAACGGTTCGACCAATAACATGCTTGTTGCGACCCATTCTCAAAAGATCAAGACATGGATTATAAAAAAAAAAAATCACCAAAAATACATTTTGTAGAATATGAAGATTATAATTTGGTGTTAGGGTAAGAGAAAAAGAGAAGTTTAACAAAAAAAAAAATAAAATAAATAAAATTGATGGTCTAGGTGCAAGAAAATGCAGCAAAAGAAGTGAAGGCCTATGAGGTTTAGGGTTTATGAGCGTGTGAATAATAGAGCATGAATAGTAATAAGTGAATAGAAGGGGAATGCAAAAATAACACCCTAAGTTCGGCACGTTTCAGCGTCCGGCGTACTCGAATGTTTTTAACCTCACCTCGTTTTACGTCCCAGAAGACCACCCGATTTTTTGTGTGCAGGCTCGCCTCGTTTTGCGTGCCAATGTTTCCTCGTTTTGTGTGAGCTGAGTATGCTTCCGCCTCGTTTTACATGTGAGGAGATCATCTTGTTTTACGTGTCAGAATACTATCCTGATTTTGTGTTCAGCTAGCCTCGGTTTGCGCGAGGTATCCGGCCTCGTTTTTCATGAGTGGAGCTCGACTTGTTTTCTGAGCACCCGGGAGTTCACCTCTTCCTGCTTGCGCAAAGCCCACCTCATCTTGTGTGCGTGGATTCGCCTCACTCTGTATGTGAGGATTATGTATCGTTTCGCTTGCTAGAAGCCAGCCCCTTCCATGTGGCTTGCATTGTTTTAGTGCGCACAAAGCCATCCTCGTTTTCTGTGTGCAAGGCTGGGCTCAATTTGTGCGATGTATGACGCCTCATTTTTTGTGCGTGGAGCTTGCCTCGTTTTCTGTGCTAGAAGGTTTTATGTGAGTTACATGCATCCACTACTGGAAGGAATTGCCTCACTACGCCCCGTTTTCTA